AGCTTTCCTGATTGGGCACCCTGCAACAAGGCCAATCTGGCTTGCTGCCGCAGGGCGTCTGCATCCTCACTTTGTGTGGATTCACCTGCCATCCGGCTTCCTAGTGCTTCTTGCAGCTTTCCAGATTGTGCACCATTCAGCAGCGCCAATCTGGCCTGTTGCCGTAGAGCTTCTATATCATCACCTTTGGAGATGCCTTGCTCTTGCTTCTGTTTGCGCTTGGCTAGAATCTCATCAAGCCTTCCTGACTGCGCCCCTTCAACCAGCGCTGCCCGAGCCAGCTTGCGGAGCAGGTCCGGGTCACTGGAGGACGATGTGCCAGCAGCATTTCCACCCAGAATCGTATCCAGCTTGCCGGAATCTGCAGCTTCTAACAATGCTGCATAGGCTTCTCCTCGAACTTGATCAATATCTACCTCCTCGATGATCTTTCGATGGTGACCTGCAAGAACCTCTTGAAGCTTTCCGGACTCAACACCTCCTAGCAGTGCAGCACGAGCTTGTTCTCTCAGCTTGTCCACATCTTTGCCGGCCTTGTGGCTGGACAAAGTCTTCTGCAAAGCGCCTGACTGTGCACTTGCCATGAGCGCATCGCGGGCTTTTTGCTTCAATACATCCATCTCCTTCGATTCTTTGGGAGCTCCCTCCAGTTCTCCTGTCTTGCTCTTCTGGAGTACTTCCTGGCACACGGACTCAACAGCGCTTGCTCCAAAACACCGCTCGCTAGCTCGGGTCGATTTTGTTGAGTCAACACATGTCAACACTCCACTTCCTCGCAAAGAAGTCACGCAACCTGCTCATGACTTGAACTGAGGGATATGTTGAACAGCACTTGGTCAAAGCTTAGCAATGCCCCACTGACGCCCAAAAGCAGATGCAAAGTGCGGTTTGTCAGACTGATATTTACACACAAGGGATGTTCCCAGATCTCTTGTTCTTGATCCAAGCTAACCTGAGATCTTGAACCTCTTTCCCCTTTCATTCTCTCCGAGTCTCATGAAGCTTCCCAGACTGAGCTCCCTTCACCAGGAGGTTCGCAGCCTCCTGGCGCAAGCGTTCCACCTCCTCGGGGGGCAGACCTGCAAATCGGACACAATTCGCCAGGCAACTGTTCTAGACAATCAGGAAAACCAGGCAACCAGAACAACTAGAAACAGGAAAACCATGAGACCTGGCTACTAGCATTGTTCTAGCCTCTGCAACTGGGTTGAATACTGCAAGTTGGATAAGAAATGATAACAAGCCAAAGATCACACAATTCTGTCACCGACTGTCCAAAGAGAACGCCCCGGTGGTCAGACTAAGCCACGGACCCTCCGTTTGATCCTCGAAACCCAGACACCGAGCGACTGACCCTCGACGGAAGCTCGACTGAAACGCAACCAGATTGGAGCAAATCATCGAGATGAAAGCAGTGATTCCCGATCAGTTCGTCTCGACACTGACGTTCAATTCTTCAAACAAACAGTCCGCTCCTGGCTCTTGTTCTTTGGGGTGTTTCCATCGCGCAGGACCTGGCATATCTCGACCCTGGAGTTTGGTGCGGACTTAGAGTGGAATCAACCAGCTTGGGAAGGTCTTTTTGAAGATGGATGAGGATGCGATTTTGTGGATCTCAAAGAAAGCAAACAGACTTGCAGACTAAGACTTACGCTGGATTCTCAAGTTATTGTCTCAAAAATCTCATCCACTTGCCATGAGCCAAATCAAAACCAATCACATATCCCCGTTCCAAAAGAAACAGCTAAAAAAATATGTAGATGATCCAACCAGGCCAAGTGGGATACTTGTAATTCCGAAAAAGGAATATCTCCTTCTGCCCAGAAAGGGGGCATACTAGGGGATCGGGATGTTTGATGACTTTGCCAGCTTGGCTTCCCAAACACCATTGATATACCCCTTCCCGGAATTCCGTTTCTTGTTCATTTTGCCAGCCGACTGGGGCAGTCCGTCTGCGTCTTTTGGTTGCCCCCCCAACGTTGCGCTATGGAGGACCCCACGTGGGGCGCGCGGCTCGGGAGCCTCCAAGAGCCTCCCAGATCGCGCGCCCTGCAACAAAGCATCGCGCGCTTGGGTTCGCAGCTGCTCCATCGGTGCCTCCAGCGGCACCGGGGTGGGTTTTCAGAGAGAAACCAAATCGATGCAAAGCGGTGCTTCGGTGGTTCCAACGGACAACGAGGCCAGATGACTTTCAAAGCGCCGAAGGGATATATCAAAAGTCAAGGGATTGGGTAGTGGTGTAGTGGGTGAGAGGGCTCCTCCAACTGAAATCGAGAGAAGTCAATCTTTGGGAGGTGCCTCCAAATGAAAAAGAGAAACACGAGTCCAAATCTTGCCAACATACCCCACCCAGCCTTCTGTTCAGCCTTGGCTTTGAACAGTTGTGCCACCTTAGCCCGTCTTTCACTATTGCTTTGAGATGTACCGACGGTATCTTACTGTTTCTCCACACATCATGCCAAATAAGATTTCCTTAACATGTTGCTTCGCAAGTCACCGAATGATGTTGGCCCGTCCCATTCTTTATTGTTCTCGTCTCTCACAGCTTGGTTGCTGAGTGCCAAACATAGCTGTACGGGTCTTCTGGCCTGCTGTCACTTTGTGGTGTACTTTATGCACTCTATATATATATATATAATACTCTAATCACATCTAATGAGTCTGCTCATCTCCGCAGCTTTCCAAGTTGAGACAGGCATCACTGCCTGTCTCACGCCACTTAGAAGTGTCCACGGATCGTTTCTAAGAAGAAACAACAAACTGCTGTGTGACATGGGTGTATGCCGAGATCAGTCAGTCAGTCACTTTTTCGCCGCCTGTCTTTGATGACGCCACTCAAGAGGCCCTGGAGGAAAGTATGCACCTTGGCGGCGAAGAAGAAAAAAAGCTCGGAGCACTTTTGGAACCAAAAAGATACTTCTTCACAAAAGTCCACTTTATTGGTATGCTTTTGATGCCAACCTGCAATCACTGCTGCGGGTTGGCCTGATTTTGATGCAGTGTAGAGAGGCACAAGGACATCTCCCGTCCTCCCATGGTGCCATTCGTTCGTCCAGGCACCCCATGTTGCGTCAGGTACTCCTCGGCAGAATTCCTGATGGCCGTCGTCTTGGCTGTTTCTTCCTCCTTCGACCTTGGCTAAAGATCAGACGGCAGAGATTTCTGAAGAAGACGTATCATGCTCACGTACCCCAACAAAAGCATGATCAGCTTACAGAATCTTCGATGTGTCGCTGTGTTGGACCCTTCCAACACCCAACCTCCGCTGCAGCGAGCAGCGCCGACCGCCACCAACCGGTCCACCACTGTCTCCAAATCCATGCGCTGGGCCTCCGGACAGCGCCTCACCTGCAAAAAAGAACAAAGAAACACCACAAAGCATGGAGGTGCTTGACACCTCACCACGGCTTGTGTAGATTTGTTTCCAGTCCACGTGGGTTCTGAGGTTCTGGTTCGGTACAGACCCCCACATTCTTCCAGGTCGGTCGTGACATCTCTTGCATGGATTTCCAGGTCGGGTCCGTTGGACGAGACGTCGGTGCAGTTGACTCGGACAAAACCAACTCAAGGAGAGCTGGCCTGTCGCATGGCGCAACAGCAACGTCACCTACATGCAAAAGTCAAAGAGAGACTGGGAAATGAGCGCAAAGAAAGACAGGAATGGATTTCTTTAAGAACCTTGACACTCACACCATTCATTCAATATGAGTGATTAAATTAGGACTTCCTCATGCATCAGTCCAATGTCCTCAACTGTTATCAACTTCGTCTGATCGGCTCAGCAAACCAAGATAGACACTTTCCCTGGACTTGGGCATCAACGATTAACACTCAAGAAACCTGACAGAATACATCTTACAGCAAAACTATTTCAGTATAACTTAGTTGAAAATGATCGATCGTTCCAAAGCGGCAACCCAGCCCCAAATCCAACCTCAGCATCTTCAGCTGGCTGGTCTGCCTGCTGTAATCGCCCGTCTTGACTTATCTACCATCTGCTTGTCTAACAAATACGTAATTAACAACATTGCCATGACATGTAGCGGAATAAGCTGCCACAAACTTCGATCAAGCTTCATTGATGCACACCTGCTTCGGGACAGTCTGGCTCCCGATGGCCAGATTCACCGTCTGTTCCTCGCCTCACGTTTTTCCAGGGCAAAAACAAAAGGCTCTTGGCTCTTGGTGTGCATGTTTGACCTTGAGATTGATGTTCCATTTCAGGAGCTCTCCCAGCAAGTCGTTGGACCCTGCCAAACAGTGTCCCTTGTCTAGCGCACACTGCAGCCAGCCATTTCACCAGTGAGAAACTGGGATGCGACGATAGACTTACAGCTAGGGCCATCCAAACTTCGTGGGCAGAGCTGTGCCATCTGTCTCATATCTATGATTCATGTTGGAGCTCGAGAAGTAGACATTGGGCAAGTTGAGGTCCCTCAACCTTGACCAATCCAAGTCCAGCTTCTATGATATATATATATATATAAATCACACCGATTTTCCGCAGTTTCCAAGGTTGCCCTGCCCTGCGTCTTGCAGGG